CACCCTACCAACTACACTTCGTCATTGTCATCGACATCATCACCACCAACATCACGAAACAGCATACACATTTCATCACCAACATCACGAAAACTCAAACACATTTCATCACGTGTCATCACCAACATCACCAAAAGTATTGTAAATACAGAGTAAAGGCCTGGTTGTGTGCTCACGGAAAACGCAAAAACATTTCATCACCAACATCACGAAAATCAAACACATTTCATCACCCTTCATCACCAAAAGTGCTGTGAATACCGAGTAAAAGCGAGGTTGTGTGCGAAACTACTGCAAGTACCGAGGAAAATTTCGAGTTTTCGCTGCAAGCCGTTCGAGACACCAAAGTTTTAGACGCACAGTCCAGAAGTAGGGGTGGCAACTATATAACAAAGTACGACATCACGAAAGTACTGTAAATACCGAGTAAAGGGCTCTTGTGGTGATATTGCTAGTTGTGTTTGCGCAACACTGTCGTCATCATCCCAACCCCCCCACCCCCCTCCAGAAGCAAGTCCAAAATCAAGCGGCCGAGCTTGCAAACTCGGCAAGTCGATGTTGAGGCTTCTGATGAGGATCGTACATGACGAAAGTGCTGTAAATACCGAGTAAAAAGGATGTGCCCTTAAGACGTTTTAAAGCAAGCGTAGTTGGTAGGGGGGGGGGCGCGCCTACTACTACTGCTACTGCTACTGCTACTACTACTACTACTACTACTACTACTACTACTTTTGAACCCAGACTCAAATCCTGCACCAGCTGGGAAGCGGCAGCCTTCCTACTACTACTACTACTACTGCTACTACTACTGCTACTGCTACTGCTACTATTACTAAAACTACTACTACTACTACTACTACTACTACTACTGCTGCTACTGCTACTAGTACAAGTACTAGTACTAGTACTACTACTACCACCACCACCACTACTACTACTACTACGACGACGACGACGACTACTACTTTGGGGTAAACAATAGTATTAAGGCCTAGCGACGGCCTCATGTCTACCATAGCGTATGCTTAAAGGAAATGCGTTGAAGCAGTGACAACATGACTTGATGCCAAGCCGGCTTCGACGTCTGATTCAGAGCATGTCGGCTTTCTCGTGGGCACGGACCAATGCGGAGTCGAAGGATCCAGACTGCGAACATCCAAACCCTCAGCACCCAACTTTGAGACGGCCGTGCAATTATCTTGGGCTGCGGCGAAGGTCTTTGGTACGACTTACGTGCTCAAACCATTCCTTGGCTGCAATGTTCCGCTGCACAGCATATCTGTTTCCGCATGCTAACCGTACTGTCTGAAGCCGCTCTTGAGATCACCGTTGTCTTCGCAGCTCTGCGCATGTCCAAGCAGCCATGGCATTGCGGATGTCCATGTCAGAGGTTACCAAACCTGAGCGCTGAATCTGCTATCTCTGCAACAGCTCAACGACCGTTCCCATTGAAACACCTGTGATCCCTTCTCGGCAACCATGCTCGCCGGATGAACAGCAACAAATTTAGGTTTCGGCGCTTCCGATCTAGGTTTGGGTCTAGGGTTTAACCCTAAATCCTAAATTTAGGTTTTGGGATGTCTGCAGAGGCAGCCTCCATCAGAGAATCAAGCTAGTGAGCAAAGGTTCTACAGAGGTTGGATAGGGTTCGAGAAGAGGTTCAACACGTCTTTAAAGTATGATATCACTTTGACTATGAATGATAGAGCATAACGGAATATTATATATATATATATACACACATGTGTATATAAAAGGTCTCTGTAGGGCTTCAAGAAATTTTCCTGCAGTTTCCTTCAGAGCCTGAGACCCCCGCGCTGTCCCTGTGTGCCTTGTCGGGGCAGCACCTGTTCTCGGCGGAGGACAAAGTGGCCGGGTAATGTAGAACAAGGGTTTCGGGTTGGGCAATGTAGAATAAAGGTTCGATACGGGTTTCTACAAACATTTTTATACTGACTACTATAGGGGTTTGGTGTAGGGGCCGTGATATTTAGAATCTGGTTTTGAGCTCCTTTGTAATCTAGTTATAGTAAGAATAAGAAGCCCTAAGGGAAATATTGGTAATTAATTACTGATTAATGAGTTAGGCTTCCATCGTATCTTCAACTTGCTGCGAACCGTCATCATATCATAGTAACTGGCGCTGAAGGTTTTTAGAGGTTTAGGATGCGGGTGACAGTAGTGTTTATGGTAGCTAAGACCCATAATGAGACTAGTGACCGGCAAAAACAACCCCTGCGGTAGCCGTCAGCCTTGCAACAGAAAACAGTTGCCTGGGAGAAACGGAAGCTGTGAGGACCAACCGCACGCCTCAACCCGTTTTCGAGCTCCAGGATGTGTAGCTCTAGATCAGAGCATGCTGTAGGCTTCTCCCTCTGAGGTAAGCGGGTAGGCCACCTATTCAACCGACGGCCAAGGAGCCGCTGCCTTCCCCGGAATCCCCAGTCAAGCAGAACTCCAAGGGGCGTGCAGCCAGTAGCAGCTGAAGACAGTGGCATGTGAACTCCTGCCAGCCACACGTCTGATCTATGCAGCTAGCAGTGGGATGCCTTTCACATGTTTGGCTGGGGCGGCTTAGATATGCACCAGCATAGGCCGCTCGACTTGCTCTCGGATCGGCAAAGGCTGAAGGAATCCCGACCAATTGTGTTTCTCAGCTTCTGCTCAACTCACCTTGACGCAGGGCCAGGCGGAGCCTTCTCTGAAGAATGTTCGAAGCTCTCTACGCATGGCCCGACAACTGATTGACTTCTGACTATCTAACACCCGTAACTTGTCATTGCGGATGTCCATCACATGGTAGACCAACCAATCGCGTAGACGTCTACTCCAATTTGTCTCCGAACCCTAAGCCCCTAAACCCCTAAACCCCTAAACCCCAAACTCAAACCCCTAAACCCTAGAACGCTTTTTGCATCCAGGACTCTTGCAAGCAGCCGGGAAACTCCAACCCTAGAACCCTAAACCCCTGAACCCTAAACCCTAAACCATTGCAGGAGCGCCGTCCTCCGGACCCTCTGAAGGATTGGGCCGACCCGGCGAGTCCTCAAACGGCGGCATGCACCGTGCAAAGCTGCTCAATTTCATGTTATGATATGATGTGTATGTTGTAGTATGTCATATTATATCACACTATCACTATCTTATGATAAACCATATTTTTTGTGACAGTATATTACATTAGATCATAATAGAATATCTGTGTCCACGCTTCGGAGCTCCCGGGCTTCTGATGGCTTTTCGGGCAATCAGCTTGCAGGACTCAGGCCCCCACGCGAGGGCTTCCGCGCCTGCAAAGGCGGAGATGTAGCAAGAGCCAGCCCATGCGACTAAGAGAGAAGGAGAAAGAGGCAGAGAATTAAAAAGAGAGATAGAAGAAACGGGGACTAGACTTGTTGGTCTTTCTTCTCTTCAAGGTTGGTCGGAAACACGCCGGAAACTCGAGTTCAAGCACCATCATGCCTGCCTCATGCGTCCCACAGGCGGGACGAGCCGCTGTCCATACCTCAACTGAGGCAATTAGCCGAGGTAACAGATGGTAGTAATCATCATTAGACAGACGAGGAAAGCTCTGTCATAAGCGACTTCACCACACTCAGACGAGAAAGATGTGACGACACTATAGCACGTACTGCATTCCTCACGAAGAAGATGACCCCTACAAGAGGTACGAGTAGGCATGGTGCACGAAGCAGTAGATGAGATCATCAGACCATGGTTGATCTCTTCGATTCAGTGAGCAGCGTTTTGCATTATGCTTGCGCCTCACTCGGTGGGAGCCGGGCGCCTGCCGCCTGAATTCATGCAGTACCACCTTGAGAAGGCTCATGGAAGCCCGAGCATGGATCCTACACATCAGAATTTCCGTGGCGTGGTAATCGAATTCACCGCTGCAAGATGTTGCCATTTTCTGACTAACACAAACTTATGCCGTCTTCCCTGCATTGTATATGCTGCAGTTGATCTTCCAGCGGTGTGCACGTCTTTGCCGCCTGTTCGGCAGCCTTTGAGGTGGATCCTCCGCAAGTCTTTACCGGGCAGAAGCAACTATTTTTTTGCCTCCTACTTAGCAAGGACGTGCCCGCATTGCAGGGTGGTAAGTCTGCTTGGCTTTGAACTATTTAGGGTTTAGGGTTTAGGGTCAAGTGCCATGCAATCAGTCTACCTGCAACAATCGCCAATGGGGGTTCATTCTACATCACGAGTCTTTAACATGCCTCTGCCGGGTCCCAATATCTTTGAAGGGAGCCCGTGCAGCTGCGCATAGGGACAAGCAGGGCGAAATCAATCACTGCGAGACGTCGCGACTCGCAACTCGCTCAACATGCCTTCCGGGCACTTTGCTTCAGAGTCCGGGCCTCTGGCTTTTAGGGGGCACTTATGTGTAGACTCGGACATATATTGGGGGCCTGTGGGCTGCGCGAATGCTTCTGTACTTCTTACCATGTGGCATATTTCGGCGTCTGCTATTCCAGACTGATGGAATTCACATGATAATTTCAGTCCTCGTTCTCGTCGTCGTCCCTTGCCGTCTCGCAGTGCCAGCAGGGCTAGTATGGCGCAAGAGCAGTAACTCAGTAATAAAGTTGGAAGCGTAAATGTGCGCAGTTTCACAGCAGCAGCGGCATTATGCGTAGCTGGGCAGGGAGTAGCCCTTATGTAGATTATCAGTGGAGGTGGCGGTGGCGATGATTCTGGGTGCTGGTGCGGCTGCTGGCGCTGCTGTTGTGATTAGTTGCCCATAATGACTCGAATCCTCAATCACCCGAAGCCTTATTAAACCCCAAGCCCAGAAGCGGTGCCTACCGGGGCGTACTCCAACCGCTGCTGGCCTGGCCTCAGATCGGCTGCACGGCGGTGTACAGAACGCTTAGGCTTTAGGCTTTGGGGTTTAGGGGTTAGGGTTTACCCCACGGTTTAGGGTGTAGGGCTTCGGGTTTGCGAAAGCCGAGAGCATACCGCCGCGCACGCTTCGGCGAGGGTTTAGGCCTAGGCTGCTGCTCGACTGGAGAGGATTGGATTGAGGCCTGCTGGTACGGAGTCCAGATTGCAGCTTCTGAAGGAGATGAGATTGACGAGGAGCTGTAGCCACCATATCCTCTGGAGGTGCTGTCGGTCAGGCCGAAGCCGTAACCCCCTCGTCGATCTTGGTGAGCGAGACATGGCAGGTCAAAACTCACCGGGACGCAACTTGGAGAAAGGTGTCTGACACTCTCGCTACAGGATTTCATGCAGAGCTGGGCACATGGAATACGGACGAATTCAGCATACCCCTTGCTGGAAGGTTCAAACCATTGTGCAGACGACTGGGTGCAAGACTGTTAACGAACGTCAGCAGCTGCGTGAGCTTCGGCGGATAGCTTGTGAAGGGATTCAGCCTCGCACGATTGGTAATTACAAAGGTGCACTTCTATGATTCTGGGCCCATGCTGCTCCCAACCGGGCATTGGTGACACAAAACAGGCAGGCCAGAAAAGAAGCATCAAACCTAATTGTTCAGCTTCATGGCCGCAAGAAAAGAGGCTTTAACCATTTAGGCTCAAAAACGCTAAGGTGCCACTCAGATTGTGATGAACATTGACGAACTGCAGTTTGCCGAAAGTGGCCCCTGCAACGAAGCGAAGGCTTGGCATCATTTTTTGCCTCCCACCTAGCTAGGACAAGTCCGCATTGCAGGGCCCAGTCGAGAGCAAAGTAGCTGCATCGTATGGCAACGAGAGTGCAGCGTTAGTTTCTTGCGCTCTAGCCTCTCGGGCAATACGTACAGCGTGGGAAGGAAGTTGTCCAGCTGATGCTTCAGGTCACGCCCCACAAAACCAAACTTGCTCAACATCTAGCGAGAGATATGCATACGGGGAAAATATATACATTTGTATATATATATATATATATAGGTAGATAGATAGATAGATAGATAGATAGACTAGAAAATTAGAAAAAATTCTCCGATGCCAGCCAGAAGTGCTTGCATCGAAGCCATTCCATGAGAACGGGCCGGCACGAAGAGCAGCTTTTAATGACGGTTTCCGATGACAACCATGATGCAAACAATTGCCAAGTCTCGCTGCCGGCTGTCCGCGCCCTGCAGTGGCACAAGATTCGGTTCCGAAATGCCAATCCATTGGTTGAACATCATCCTCACACAGCTAAGGGCAAACAAACGGATTACGAAGGCTGACAACATGCACGGTGAACAGCTAGATGATGTGAACAACACTAACCACTGCTACTAAACCCCCAAAAAACCTACGGCGAAGCTCCTGTTTCTACAGCCGTTTCACCCCAACCAAAAAACATTTTAAAAAACAAACTTTTGCATCCGGTCTGGAGCGACTCTACCGAGATAAAGAACCCTACCCTGCAAAACCCCTTCCCGTAACCCCGAACCCGATGTTGCAAAGACCCAAACTTCTACCCGGTAAACCCGATGCCGAAGGCTCATGGGAACCTTTAAAACATATCGGAACGCACCGTAGGAACCCGTCTAATCCCTTCAAGGCAGGCTGCTGTCCACCGATATGCAGTCGGGAACTTCACAAAGCGCTGCGCGCTCGCCTGTCATAGCCCCTCCGACGTCAACTTGCCAAAGACCGTAATACAAGGGCCTTGCCTTAATAATTAGAATAGGGTTTTGGAGTTTTGGGGTATATGATGTAAGTATAGGCCTCCCTATAGTAACAGAAGGACCTGAAGAAAATAGAACGGGATTCTGTGGGCAATATAACACTTATTTGCACCGGTGATTCAAGGAGCTTGGGTGTAAGCAATATGTACGTTTTTTTGCACGCCCGTAAGCATGCATGCATGTGCTCATGTACGCATGTACGTGTGTACAGCTGTCTGTCTGTCTGCCTGTCTGCTTGTCGGTCTGTCTGTCTCTCTGTCGGCAAGTATGTATGTATGTATGCATGTACGCATGTGCATGTACGTATGTGTGAGGCGCTTGGATTTCTTTGTGATGACTCCGGCCTCAGATCCCGCCCTCGTTTCGCCCGAATTCGTGCGTTAACTGTGGGTCTGCTATATGCATGTATATATATATATGTGTGTGTGTGTGTACACATGCCAGCATAAGTATGCATGACACGCATGTATCAAGATATGAGAACATACATGTATATACATACATATATATATATATATGTGTGTGTGTGTGTGTGTACACATGCCAGCATAAGTCATGACACACATGTATCAATATGAGTACATACATGTGTATATATATATATATGTGTGTGTGTGTGCGTGTGGCTAACGTTTACTAACAGTTTTTCATGCATACTCACCATCAGAGTAACAAATACTTGTAACAACTGTTACACATTCATATTCCATTGCTTGCCAGCCCAAGCTGCTCACCATGGCGGTAAGACCCAGGTACCCTTTGGACTGCGCTTTGAAGCCTGGGACGGCATGTACTTTCACTCTACGACCAGTCATCGCTGCTACATGTGACAAGTTGTCCAAGGGTGCAGTCTCGTCAACTGCAAGGTTTCTGACCATGACTGCGCCTGCGTAGTAGGACTTTTGCACAAATTCGCAGAAAGAGTGGTAGAGAACGTCTTCTCTGCAGAATAGATTATGGAGTACTTTGAAGACAGTAATTAGCTTAGTGTCCTTTCTCAAAGTCACCAGTCACCATGTGAGCCATGTCAGCAAACGTTCTTCGGAGAATCGGAAGCAGTTCCTTACCCTCTTCTGATTCGGGTCATGAAACGCCAGGTTTGGCAGGTAGGTGAATACATGATGACCATGCCACAGGATACCCACTACCTAGGTAACTGGCAACTGGGCTGCTAGAGAAACTGCACGAGGAATCCTTGTGGAGTCATGGCCTGGGGCCATATTGCCCTGTCGTTCACCGCATGTCATGTCAAGATCCCGTAACTATCGGCTTGTCACCATCGTCGCCGCCATGTGGGAAAACGTGACAACAGTTTCATATAGTTTCGAGGGTAGTAGTGACGACTGCGGCGACAACGCATCACATAAGCTGCTCATAAAAAAACTCAGGACAAAAGTGACGGCACCGCGAGTGAGACCTGGCACAATTCTTATCTTGGGCCCAGCGGCTGAAGATCAGGGCATCCGCTACAAAGCCGATACCTAAGCGCAAGGTGTAAAACATGACGCCAGCAAAGCCCGCCCAACTTCGGTCCAGTTGCTGGCAGGTTCTGCGTATGCACATCGGCAGACTGCATTGACTTTCTGAGCTCCGGGTGTCTCTGTCGGGAATGCTGGAAGCACATCTCGTTGCCAGGCCCCTTCTGATATACACTGGTCGAAAAGTCAGTGCAAGTCTCGTAGCTCCATGGCACGTTGCCCTCTTGCTGTTCGTAAGTTTTTCAGCCAAGCAGCTTTCCATGAAACACCAGGAACACAGCAAAGCAACGATGAAGGCCGCAAAGGCCTCGGTACAAGGCATGCCCCAACTGCCTATGATTAGGGGTTTAGGGTTTAAGGGATTGGAGTTTACCGCTTATAGGGCTTGCTATGCAGTAGCTG